TATATATATATATATATATATATATATGTGTGTGTTGGGCTAATTTTGAATTATCGAATAAAATTTAGACGTTTGCGAAATTAGCTGACGTCACGGCTGCGATTATTGACGAGTAAAAAAAAAATTTTTCATATTCGATACACTCGTTAATAGATATATTGGTAATTTTAGAGTACGAGCCAATAATAATCGATCTTAATGCAATTGATTATTCCGACGTTCGATAGATCGCGACTTCCGGTATAGATCGAATGTCCGATTCGTCGATGCTGAAACTTCTGATTATTCGTAGGTTTAGAAGAGAGAAAAAAGGGAAAAAAATTTACGTAACTATTAGGCTATGTTATCATGCATATGTGTTCTGGAAAATGACATTTTATGCAGTCAAGTGCATTGCCATGCGAATGAAGGTGCGAATGACGGATATGAAGTGTTATATAATTTATAAGTGCAAAGAAAGTGTAACGAAAACTATAAGGAGCGGCCTTTTCGTCGGTATGACAATTTTCGAAAATTTCGGAAAAATCTGTGTGTCAACATTAATTTTCTCAGCATTCAATACGGGACGAGGTCGAATCCTTGGCGCATCGTCAAGAAGCAAATGGCAGTGCGACACGTGTGCCTACGGTTTGGATTAAATGAGATTGGACTGAATTTAAAAAAAAAAATCAAAAAGGATTACTACGACGGATCGAAGTGCGTCGCGACGCTACAGCCCGTTCTTCCGATGTTGTTCTCCGTCGGGACGCTTCCTGGAAGATTTTGTAACCAAGGACCCGAGGCCGACCGATCCCGATAACGAGGCAACGTTAAGACCTAGTGGCGCAGGCGTACAGAGCCACTGTGCAAAAAAAGCAAAGACGCACGAACGCAAAATAAATATAAAAAGAAAAAAGAGGACAGTGACTGGACCTGAAAAATTGTACAGCTCTAAATACGCAAATCGAAGAATTAATCGCGCGCGAATGTTCATTTAAGTCAAACGTTAATTTCATGTATTTCGATCGGAAATACGAAAAAAAAAAAAAAATCAATCACAATTATTCGACTTTATAAAAAATTAATTGATGTACATACATGTATAATATTACGATTAACTCGTAAGTAATACGTGGATGTAAATATATTCGTATCGCGAGAAGCAAAGATAAGCGAGAAGAAGAAAAAGAAGAAGCAAAAAGATCGTCAATTATTCGAGACGTGGTCAGAACGGCCGATCGTCGTTTCTGTTCTATTATGTACGTACGTACGTATAATACAGATATGCGTATGTATATATATATATATATGAGTACGGAGAAAGAAGATAAATGAGAATATTATTAAAATTCACCTAATCATAATATCTCGCCTTGAAGGGATAGTACTGCAGCAAGAGCTCACTCATAGATGCCGCTGCTTCTCTTTGTTACCCCTTCGACTTCCGGTTTGTCTTATCACTTCTCTTTCTTTATTTTCACACTGGCAATATCAAAGCCTTGCGGCCTGGCGAAGCGTCGATAGAACGATAACTAAATAACTCCGAAGGGGTCAGTCCGCGGCGGGTACGTCTGTCAATCTGTTAGTACCTACTGCAGCCACCTCAGGGACGTGACGCAGGGCCGTTAAAATGGGTCCCCGATCCTGGTGACAAAAAAAAAAACGAAAAAAAAAACCAGATGAAAAAACTTACCTTATAATAAAAAAAAATTGGTCAACCTTCCATTGACGTTACAATAGGCACTTTGTAACGACGTAAACATTGGTTGACAATGCAAGAAGAAAAAAAAAGACGAATATGAATCGACACGGTAGAAAATGTGGGGCGATTCGTAAGATTCCAAGTGGTAAAATTTTAACCTGAAATCAAACAGGATATATGGTCGTTGTATTGACTATTGGGTAACGGCGCCATTTGCATTGGTGTATATTAGAAGATTTCTTTGTTAGCGCTGAAAATAATTATGGTAGAGGACGTTATTACGTATTGCCGATGTAAAGTGAATACTCGATCGATCGTGTTTCGTAACGGATATTTCGTGCGATACGGACGATCGTGACGTATTTAAAAATTGGACAATTCGAAATGACGTTTCCCAGTGAATTCCGGTAGGTAGCGGTTGCAATTGTAACCGTCGACGGTGGGGAGTGAATTGTTCTGTACGGTGAGAAGAAAAAAATGATAAAAGGGCCCGTAACTGTGCACCCCTGCAACGGGCCTGAGTTAAATTACTATAAAAGACTTTATCCACTTTAGTCACTGGCCGTCAGGCAATCATCCTATTGCCGTACCATCGCATCATGAATGACGGTAAGAAAACTCGTCCAGACTCAGTGTCATGAGTTACCCTGAAATATCGTGTAACCTTTGAAACAGCCTCTACGCTAGATTCGCATACGAGGTTGCACAAACAGATCGGACGAGACAGTTGAAATAATAATTTGAAGGTTAGGTAAGAAAACTTCCTGCTCATGCGAAATCGCCAATTTTCAAAGTTCGAATTACAGGGGAGAGATACTGGGTAATAGTTTGCACCTTTATTTAACAAATGTTCGTATATTAAAAATAGTAAATAATTTTGTGTTATCGTAACACACAATTTTCGTTGACAAAGGCTTTTAGATATCAGAAAAATTAACTGCCCACACAGCGCAGAAATATTTTGTCAACATTGCCAAAAGTTTCCCTTGAAATAATGCAATATTACCGGAATTATATTGAAAATTGTTTAAATATTTCTGGAATGTTGCAGGAACCTTGCAATGTCCGCTCAGCACGTTGCAATCATAATATTGCTATAATATTGCCGGTCAATATTTTGGAAATATCAATGCATAATATTAATAAAATATAACTCAGATAGATAACTGAGAAATAATATAACTGAGAATAAATTCCAATGCCAGCAATGTATCGTGGGTTTCTTTGGGCAGGTTGCCTATACCTCCTTAAATATTACCTCGGTTGTATTTTTAAATACTCTATACAAATGCCATAATTTCACATGTAATTTTTACATGCAGAATACAAAAGTATATATCGACGGCGAAGACGAAAACCGAATAATCGACGGATTAATTATTTACCCGGTCCTACGTTTTTTCATGCGAGTTGCCTTGGCCACCTAGCGGCGCGGCAGCGAACTAGTGTTCGCTCGGATACTCCGAGTCTGGTTAGGGACTCTTGTCACAGATTTCAGCATATATCAGAAAGTTTTATTTATTATATTGCCCTGAAATATTGTGCAATATTTGACATAAAGACATCAACAACATTGCTGTCGCATTGAAATATTGGAATATTGTTGTAATGTTTTCGAAATATAGTGTGCTGTGTGGGTGTACTGATAAACTATACTTAAAGCAAATTAACTTCATTATTACGGACAAGAGTCGATGTTATAATTTGACGTGTTATATTAATAAATTGGATGAACGTTTACTTAATTATTTCATATCTCCCTTTGGTTCCCGGGGTTGCCCCCCTCCCCCCACTCGCCCCTACACGTAATACAAATTAAACAACTAAAAGTGTAAATACAAATTCGCAAGCGGAAATAGTCGACTGTGTCGAAGAGTAATACACGTACGTTGTCGCTCCTTATCGTATCATTTACTTCGAGAATCAACGCTTATCAGTGAGATAATGACCCAATTAGATGTAATTTATACGTGAGTCATGTCTTTCAATTTAATCCATGTCCGCTCGCGGTGTTCTAATAACCATAGACTTGAGTATCCACGATTGGTATAGAAGGGAATGGCGCCTGAGGGCCTTTAACGTGTAGGATTATTGCACGCGCCGTTTTGTACTCACACAAATAAACCATGAACAATTAAAGTCTAGATAGGACACCCCTAGTACATCGCAGAACGGGAAAGGAAGAAAGAAAATAATTAGTATATCGATGATAAGAAAAGCATATAACCAGTATCCAATGCATATTAAATAAATAAATATAAGGAGGAATAAAATAAAATTCCTTACAAAACCATATATACCTAATTGCTGTGTTTACGTTCATCAAAAATGCTGTATTAAATAATGGGGGTTATACTGTACTACAAGTGTAATATATCAGATATGATCCTGTAGCTGAAAACTGGTTCAGCAGTTGGCCGCTGGCGAAGTGGCGGCCTAGCGTTTTCTTGGCCGCCTTGTAGAAACACATCCGGTCGCCAAGTAACTCCGCAACTTTCCTGCTTCATTCATCGACGCATTCTGTGGCCTTTGAAGGTCTCTTGCACTCCTGCGACGTAGAGAAACGAAGGTGCAGCCAAGTGCACCCGATAACTCGAATGCGCAACACTTATGATAATGCAACAGAAACTGATATAATATACATCCATGTCATTAATTTTTTAATGCATACCAAGAAACGATTCATCCATCAACGCCCATTCAATGTCAAACAAGGATAATCAGTGCGCCGCAAATTTATTTCATTGTGACTTCAAGCTCTTTGATATAAACCAGACTGAAAACAAGAGTCAGGCTTTCACCGTACCGTGTACCAACCTTCACTGATCTAATATCTAACAGAAATACCCGTTACCGTGAGCCTACATGGACCAATGGTATGTCCTAGACTGTGCTTACTATATGTTTAACATTCGTTTCTTTGTAGAGAATTATTTGTAGAGGTACTAAAGAGCGACCGATTCATCGGATGCTCCGAGTTAAACATTGGCAGATCGTAGATTTAGCCAGGCACCGTGAGTTCTCCGAGTTTGATGAAATTTGTAAAAAAAAGAAGAAATTCGTTTTAACCAACCATTAAGCAAGTGACTGGAGAACCAGTAACGGAGGCCATGAAGAATGCAGCAAGAGTGCAGGCAAGAGCGGAGAGGACGCGGGCTTATACGAGTAGAATGAAGTGGAGAAGAATTCAGAAGTGGTAGGGAGGAAACGTGAATGATCCATAGAGCCAGAGACGACGATGGCAGTGGCAATGGTGATGATGGTGCTGCCTATGGTGGTGGTAAAGTTGGACCAGGGTGGGGGACGCCGCTTCGGAAATGGCCGCGGGAAAGTAGAGAGTGGCTAATCGGCGGGTGAGTTTTTTTTTCGTCGGGGCTCAGCCGCAGCAGGTGGAGATCGCAAGGATATCTAGGATGCTGTGAAGAGGGTTGAACGATCACGAGGAGTTGATACTCGCTGGTGAGGATCGGTCTGGTCGGTGGACAGAGGGACAAACGTGGTGATCGTGGACCTCGAGGATGGCCGGTGACGGTGCGACGGATAATGACGTCGGAGAGGGGAGCGATCAGGGTGCGTCAGCGCAGGGAGAACCACATTCCAGAGTGGGCGGCATTGTGGAATGCGATCCCCCCGGTAACAGGAATTCGTCGAGCGAGCTGCCCAACGCTATCGGGGACGGTGCGTGCCGCTATGGTGCGAGCGGTGCCAGCAGCGGTATGTCTTTCGTCGAGGTTTGTCAGGTAATGATAAATTGTTGCAAGACGGTTTTAAGAGTGATTTGGTGGACTTTTGACTTGTTCTGTGAGACACGATTGGGGTGATAATGTTGGTCTTGAGTGTTGAGCGTGAAATGCTTGGTGTTTTAGGTGCGTCTGCAGCATCTCTTTCCCCAGCTGGCTCCTCCTGCCAGGTATAGCCTGTGCGAAGACTCCATAGAGCTGACTGCAGAGTGTTTGGCCAATGATGTCATTCGGTATCTTCTTAAGGAGGATATATACCTGATATCCAGGGATCCAATCTCTCGTAGCATGAGACACAATGTCTACCAGATGCTCAACAAGCACAGCATACTCTTCACTAGCATGGTCAATCGACTTAATGTTGTGCCGGATACTGCTTATGAGGCATTCATGGCTGTTGCCGATGAACTGTTTCTCCATGGTGGTGTTACGTGGGCTAGGATTGTTTGTCTGTATGCCTTCATGGGAAGGCTCGCACTTTGGGCTAGGGACAGACGAATGCATGCACTGAAGAAGAAATTACCACTGTACGTTTCAAGATACATTGGAGAGGAGATAGCACATTTCATTAAAGGCTATGGGGGATGGGTAAGTCTTTATCGATACATCAGAAATATTGTATATACCTTTTTATGAGCATCGATCGAGCTACTTAATTTTTTCTTTCAGGAACAACTTTGTATAGAGTATCCAGTCGCAGAAGAAGTCAGCGGAGCAGTTTGGAGGAGTCTCTTAATGACCGGAGCCACCCTAGGCTTGGTCGCCACTATATTAACTGTAACTTCCTGAAGTGTAAGAAGAATTCAGTAAACTATTAACCGTGTACTTATATCCTGTGATCGTGATCGTTCAAAGACAGAATATTAAAAAATAATTTATCATGATAACACGCCATTCAGGTGAGTTTAAGCGAATCGATTCTACATTTGTTTATAATCGGAAAAGCCGTTAAAACGGACACAAAATTCTTAATTTTTTATTTTTGGTACGTATACAAAGACTAAGGCAAATAGAAAGACCCTTATTGATCTCCAATTAACCATGACTTTCTTACACTTACTCTTCAAAGTATTTTTCTCTTTTCTTTTTTTTCTTTCTTTACTCAAGCGCAAGACAACAATGCAAGTTCCCTATTAACTATAATAATAATAAACTTTTCTCAATGGGTTAGTTCAATTAGTAGGAAGACTTTCTTTGTTTAACTGCGAGCAAGGCATTTTGCCCCTTCTTCATATGAAATATAATTTTCAACGAATGATACTTAAAAAAAAAGAATTATAAAACAAAACAGTCGACAATTTAGATCTCAGCGCCAAACAAGAATCTCGAAATTATATTGAATTTAGGTAGACGCGAACTATTTGTATTTATTTATAATTTATTTTAGGTAGAAAATATATTAAATAACAAATTCTACAAACGATACGCTTGGCCACGAATGGCCATAGTAGCATCTCTCTTGCTGTAAACATAGTGACTGCACGTAATTGAGATATATTAGTTACTAAATGTACTATAATAATTATACGCAATGGTCAAATCTTGTACTTCGATAGCTTTTTAGTACCTTTGTAAAAGTTTTCTTTTTTTTTTGTATCAATATCTGGTGTTAATAAATACTTTTACGATAAATCACTCTCCTATTTCTTCAATCAAGATTTCCCCCTCAACATTCAGATTAATCACTTTCTTCATTACTAAAAAGGTACAGTCCCCACTTCTTCATTTTCTGCCAACTCTACGTCCCAACGAACTTCCATTAATGTCAACTTGGGTATATTTCAAAGGAAAATGAGAAAACATTCATACAGAATTATTCAGCTCAAACGCATCACAGAAATTTGACACTCTTGATTAACCACCATTGGTCGACGAAGTCATTCGACAGCTGAGTTTTGAATTTCCGTTACTTTTAAACAACTGGAAAATATTGAAATTCCCTACTTTTCGTCTCTACGCAAAACTTGACTGATTTTTCAATATCAATCTTTTTTTCTAAGCCAAATATCTCCGTAGAAGTACATTCGATCAAAAAACGTCAACGATCATTCGAAGCAGACAGAACATTCCAAATACTTAGAGTTTTATTTGAAGTAGCTGCAGCGTCGTTATTTCGAATATAAATACAATCTAGTTGCTATTGAAAATATATCGGCTTACAAGAGTGCAAGAATTATATCAAATATAAAGACGCATGTTCCTTAAGGAAAACATTTTTTTTTTAAATTGCTAAAAACTCGCTCGCGCATTCGAAAATCTCGTATCTAACGCTCCAACTTGATATTTTTTTTTGTTCGGACATAAATAAAAGCCCCGATTCTTTTACTTCTTTAGAACTCTGATCCAATCCCATCGAAATTCTCGAATATCCGCGGATACCATTCCTGGTAAACAATAATAAACATATATCATACAAATTGGTGATAAGAGACAATTATTAAAAAAGGAAACAGACATTTCAACAAAGTGGTTTCAAAGTGTGAAGCAACGAAAAAAAAATGAGGACTCGCATTCGTCAACGAGAGTTTGGCAAGTCGCAAAAAGAAATTAACAATCCCTTGAGATATTCCCAAAAAAAAAAAAAAAAAAAAAAAAAAAAAAAAAAAAAAAAAAAAAAAAAAAAAAAAAAAAAAAAAAAAAAAAAAAAAAAAAAAAAACCGAAGAGAACCAAGACAAAGTAGAGAAACGAAGTTACGAGTAAAGCGAGCCAAGAAAATTAGCATCCAACGAATCAGCCTATTCCAAATATTCGAAAAATCTCATCAAGTACATTAAAGTTCAGACGTTAGAAAGAAATTTGACGAGTGCGTAAAAAGTAAACAAAAAATTAACACCTTGCTGACCGGTCACGAGCATACTCGTGTTGCTGTGGCCGAACGACTCGAAAACGCCTGCCGCACGAACATTTTTGGCTCGAAAGTGCCGGTTATCAAAGTGTTAAGATAAAATTTCAAAAAAGCACCAAGATTATTTCTACCAATAACTTTTAATTCTCTTCTTTTCTTCTCTTTAACTTTTTTTGTTCTCTTGGTCTCCAGCTCCCTTGCCAGTTTCTCATTGGCCGTGCGGTCCTCCTTCCTTCCCATCGCTTCACGAGCTTCGAAGAAGCGAGATTCAAAACTCATCGTCGAATTCGCATGCGAAACGCACGAAATCGTCGCGAACGTCATTTGGCATCCTTCGAATTTTGGATTGGCATTTTGAATTTATTACCCGTCGCGGAAAAAGACGCGAGTCAAGTCCCGCGACGACGTGACAGGAGGACAAAGGAAAAAGACAATAAAAAACTTACGACCAGCGTGCGTTTCGCGCATTCCAAATTTCATTTCTTTTTGCAATACGTATATGGATACCTAAAAAACACAAACTAACATATAGTCTAGTGTCCCGCGAATATTATATAGTATATGTAACAATTCCCTTAACACCTAATCAAATTTTTTAAGACTGTACAGAAAAAACAATTTTAATTTTTCATTAAACATAAATCGTATTATCTTCTTTTCTCCCATATTTTTTTTTTTTTTTTTTTTTTTTTTTTTTTTTTTTTTTTTTTTTTTTTTTTT